AACATCTATTTTACTGTCAAAACAAAGCAAAATTGTTGGGAGTTTCTGAGATGCTACAATGAAGCACAGGAATTTCTTTACTTTTCACAATCTTAGCGTTGGAGGATAACGTTTCTATTTTCTGTAAATTCACAGAACTCAGATTTACCAACAAGAAATTTCTGAGCTTTCATGTTTTGAAAATTTTTGCTTCTGCCATTTTTTTTCTAATCATTTACTGGTAGGTCAGTTTCAAATGACTGTCCCATATCAGCAGAACATTAACTCACTATAAGGTCAGTGAACCCATAACCTGTTTCAGCAGGTCAGGGATTCTTCAAAACAATGAATTAATTAAAAAAAAAACCAAACAATTGAAGAGGAGGAGTACAAAAATTGGTACTTCCAATTTATCTACAGCACGCTAAGATAATAAGAAATTCAAAGAAAAGTCAGACTTTTTTATAATTAATACAAATATTCAACACAATGTTTGCTTTTTTAATAAAGCCTTTTCCATTTTTACGGCTGTTGTGACTTTACAATGCTAACTTACCTGCACAGAATTTGTTCTCTATGCCTCTCTATTAATAAAAGAGCAAAGGGATGTAATCCAACACTTCTGACTAGTTCAAAGGTTATGCAGTCAAATCTGACTTCTCCAAAGGCTTGGTTTAAAAGCATTTCACCCTCCTCTTAAAAGCACTGCATTTTCAACACTTTTTCATGTCAGCAGCTTCTACTTTGTACCAGCTGGTGAATTACAAGTCTCTATTTTTTCTTCTTTCATTTTAGGAGGGTTAAGAGTCTGAGAATACAAGTACAGCAATAAAAGGCAGATTGTCTAGCAGTACACTGAACTGCCAACAGCTGTCCCTTTTGAGACCCCACTGATCCTTAACATTTCACTTAAAACCTAAATACCTATTTCCCAAGCTCAGTTTTTATTTCTTAATCTCTGTGACAAATATAAATAATGAAATATGCCACTGTGAGACCGATAGCACTTCCATACAAGCATTTTAAAGCAAAATTAAGCAAAGAGGGGTTGGGGGCAAAAGCTTTTTAAGTTCCACTTCCTTTTGTTAGAGCAATTATACAGCCATCAGCTACTGAACTATATAAACATGTACTTGTAAACTGCTCAGTACAAATAAGATATGATATAAACAGTAAAAACATACACTTTAATGGAAAATAACATAGTGCTGTAGCTCCACATCTTAAGTCACTTTGCGAAAGCCAATATTCATGCCATACCATCACAGAGAAAAAGCACCTTTCAAAGAAGCCTTAAAAGATGTTTATGAGGTTAATTACCTGCTCCGTGATCCTCATGTGAAAGTCATGGAAGTCACTGTAGCGCCGATATGTCTTCCACGTCTCTTCGCTGTTTGGATTTCGCCGATGGACTGTGATAGCATACAGTGCATATGTCTTGCCATGGTCATTACACACTCCTGCCACAGCATATGGGTCATAGTCAGCATAGACTAGTAGTTTAAAAACAAAAATAAAAAAGAAAAACAGAAAGAAGGAAGACGAAAGGACACAAACGTGAAGTGAAGAAATGTCTGGAATGACAGACTTGAGAGACAAAAATGGACATGCAAGCAGAAGTGTAAGCCATCCCTTTATCCAAAAGGCTGTAAGTTCAGAAACTTATTATGTAAACTTAAATACAGAGATTAAGCAGCCTTAAAGTTAGAGAAGTTTCACTGACATGCAAAACAAAAAAAAATAGAAAAGGTTTCAACTTTTAAGAATAGTGAATAGATCTTTCAAAAAATAATTTTAACCTAAAGAACTCAAGATACAGGTGAAAGACAACTGTGAAACCAGAAGAAATTCCAGTCTGCAAAGTACCCTACTCATATTGTAAAAGTTTGTCCATCAAAAAATCTGTAAATATGACAGTCCTAGCAAGCTGTAAGCATTTGGGTTTGATAATTCCATCAGCAGTTTGTTATTAACTGTAAGATAAAAATATCCCACACACTATTTAAGTCAACAGAAACTACATATACGCACACATATGTATGTATTCTGTATGTGTGTACATATAACTTATTCTGTGTGTGTACACACACGCACACATTTTATGAAGAAGTCAATTTATAAATGGAAAGAACACAGTTATCTTAAATAGAAGCTAACATCTTTCTGTTCTCCACTGAATATTTAAGTTCTCTTTGACATTCCTCCATCACAGAATTCCTCCCAGTATAGAGTTTGTTTCAAAAACTTCTGTTTAATCTACAGAATAACCCAGAACCAATATTGTTTACACTGCACACTGTTTAAATTTGTAACATGAAGTATTGAACCAATACCCAGTAACCACAGTTTTCCAGTGGCTAGATGAAAGTACTTTTTAATCAAGCTGTGTGAATTTCCCAATGCACCCATGCTCCATAAAATACACTTTTCCTGACAAATTATCAGCTCCAACCTCTGTTGTGCTTCCATCCTTGACTTCTCTCAAGTATAATGCCGAGGTCTAAGCAGCCAGGAAGCACCTCTAGAACAGGGGCAGCTGCTGACAATGTAAGAATTACTCACTAGCAAGGTGCACAGTGGCCACGGAGCATCTTTTCTTTGCCATCTATCTTTTGGCATCCTTCGGAGCATCTTTTCTTTGCCATCTACCCTCTAGAAGAAGAATGTTGAGTGCTGAACTCCAAGAGAAAAGAGCGGGCAGCCAGGATGCTACCAAAAGACTGCACAGAGAATGGTGCTGGGAAACCTTGGCTCCACAGATGCTGAGCAAGCCCTATCCTCTAAACTCAGGTTGACCACTCTGTCATGCGGCCACCATACCACATCTCAGGGGCGCTGTTAAGTTGCACCTTTAGGAGTACCACTTCAGGACAGGCGTGGCAGAAAAAGAAAGAAGTTGTCCACATCGCCCCTTATGTCATAGCCTCTTAATCAGCATTTATTTTCCAACATAAGAAAAGGTGAATCCTCAAAGGTTACAGAGAAGATCTTGTATACACCCCACAAACACAGTAAAGGGTAGTAATCAGCAGAAGAAAGGAGCCTGCACACAGATGCACCTACTGCCTGTAGCATCCAGAAAGCAGGGACTTGTATTTCTTGTTCAAACATGAGGTGAAGAGGAAGGAGACATCCAGTTTAATCCTATCTTACAATACGAAATGTACATATCCCCTGGTTCAACTGCAGTATTATGGATTCAGAGTCAAGCTGACAGTTATCAATACATGCTGCCATCAAGGTTATAAATTTAACACAATTTGTGTGGTTCTAAGTTTACCTTTTTTCTTAGATCAAAAGAGTGAAAATTCTAAGTTTAATTCAGAAAAAAGTATCATGTCATTTTAAATAAAACAGCAAAATTGTGATTCTTAACTTTTAAATGTTTTGGTTTTTTTTCCCCCCTTCTCTGAGGACTGACTACACAAGACTTGGATTGCATCATGCCCTCACACTTGGCTGGAGTTTAATTAAAATGTCAAGTAGTTGAATTCTTGCTCACAGCTCATGTGTCTGCTATATAAATGCATAGATTTAAGAGTCTATTACATAATAAAAATCTACCAAAAAAGTATCTGAAGATTCATTCACAATTTAACTACCCAGTGCAATCTCATCTAACTAGAATATTTGCAAATAATAAATGAGAAGTTTCTATTATTTACTCCGACGTAATAAATTTTTTAAATTTATTACTACGCAATTTTTTTCAAAAGATAACCAAAAATGCCACCACTGTAAAGACTGAAGTCACTAACTTAAATTAGGTTAAGACAATAAGGGAGCACAGAAAATAGGGGAAAACATTATAGCAACAGGAGTAAACAGTCAAGAATTAGAACTGTGTGACTAGAAAGAAAGAGATGGCTTTTACAATTTGTTCTTTAAATAATTGCTAAAATAAATGCTACTCAATATTAAGTTTAATGAGTAATTCTCCAGAGACAGAAATAATAATAATATTGTAAACAAGAAAAATTAAATCACATTTTAAGTTCAGATATATAGTCTATGACCTACAGCACCAATTCTGTAAGGATTTCCATTACAAGGACTTAATGGGAAATATGAATTCAAATGTTTTATGAGGTTAAAAAAATGAAAGGATTAGGATTTCAAGGGCCTGTAATATTAAAAAACTCAAAATAAATGGTGGAAAACAAGTAAGCAGCCATCATAACAGATTGACTTACCAGTGTCTGAGATGTATGCATGGAGTTGAACTGTCTCATCAGAAGGGACATTTGAAAGGTCATCTAAGGACTGGGGGGGGGGGGGGGGGGGGGGGGGGGGGGGGGGGGGGGGGGGGGGGGGGGAGGGCGGGGAGAGAGGGGAGGAGGAAGAAACAGGCAAGAGAGAATAAGATCACAGATACATCTCATTCGAGAGATGCTTTTCGATTAATCTATTTCATTTTCAAACTTTCAGCTCACTACACTAATAGAATAGCTTAATGCACTGTAACAATGCAAATATGTATTGGTATTATCTGGTTACTAAAGCCTTTCTTTTACACAGAGTATAGGGGGCTTCATTTCCCCTACCAGTTTCACATAGTTTTGTGATCACTCTAACACAATCGTCACTTTCATTTGATATCTCAACTCTAATAGAAGTACAGCTACAAAAAGTCTTTTACTGAGCTTTAAAAAAACAAAACAAAACCAACAACAAAAACCCCTGAACAATTGTGGAATCATAGAATCACAGAATCATGTAGGTTGGACAAGACCCTTAAGATCATTGAGTCCAGCTGTAAACCTAGCACTGCCAAGACCGCCATTAAACCATGTCTCTAAGCACCACATCTACCCATCTTTTAAATAAATACCTCCAGGGATGGGGACTCCACCACTTTCTTGGGCAGCCTCTTCCAATGCTTGACAACCCTTTCAGTGAAGAAATTTTTCCTAATATCCAATCTAAACATCCCCTGGTGCAACTTGAGGCCATTTTCTCTTGTCCTGTCGCTTGTTACTTGGGAGAAGAGACCGACCCCCACCTCACTACAGCCTCCTTTCAGGTAGTTGTAGAGAGCAATAAGGTCACCCCTCAGCCTCCTCTTCTCCAGGCTAAACAACCCCAGCTCCCTCAGCTGCTCCTCATAAGACTTGTGCTCCAGACCCTTCACCAGCTTCATGGACCTTCTTTGGACACGCTCCAGCACCTCGATGTCCTTCTTGTAGTGAGGGGCCCAAAACTGAACACAGTACTCGAGGTGCGGCCTCACCAGTCCTGATTACAGGGGGACAATCACTTCCCTGGTCCTGCTGGCCACACTATTCCTGATACAAGCCAGGATGCTGTCGGCCTTCTTGGCCCGCCGGGCACATTGCTGGCTCATATTCAGCTGGCTGTTGACCAGCATCCCCAGGTCCTTTTCTACCAGGCAGCTCTCCAGCCACTCTTCCTCAAGCCTGTAGCATTGCATGGGGTTGTTGTGACCCAAGTGCAGGACCTGGCACTGAGCCTTGTTGAACCTCATACAATTGGCCTCAGCCCATTGATCCAGTGTGTCCAGATCCCTCTGTAGAGCCTTCCTACTCTCCAGCAGATCAACACTCCCGCTCAACTTGGTGTCACCTGCAAACTTACTGAGGGTGCACTCAATCCCCTCGTCCAGATCATTGATAAAGATATTGAACAGGACCGGCCCCACTACTGAGCCCTGGGGAACACCACTCGTGACCAGCCACCAACTGGATTTGACTCCATTCACCACCACTCTCTGGGCCCAGCCATCCAGTCAGTTTTTTACCCAGCAAAGAGTATGCCCGTACAAGCCATAAGCAGCCAGTTTTCCAGGAGAATGCTGTGGGAAATGGTGTCAAAGGCTTTACTAAGGTCCAGGCACACAACATCCACAGCCTCTCCCTCATCCACTAAGCGGGTCACCTTGTCATAGGAGGAGATCAGGTTGGTCAAACAGGACCTGCCTTCCATAAACCCATGGTGACTGGGCCCGATTGCCTCGTTGTCCTGTACATGCCATGTGATGACACTCAGGATGATCCGCTCCATAACTTTCCCCAGCACTGAGGTCAGGCTGACAGGCCTGTAGTTCCCTGGATCCTCCTTCTGGCCCTTCTTGTAGATGGGTGTCACAGATGTGTAACAGATCTTTTGGTTTTATCTTTATACCATTCTGTTTTCTTTCAACTGACTTAAAGCACTACACAACAGTTACAGCGCAGTAAAAGTTGAATAATTTCTCTGCTGTATGTAAAAAACAGTAAACACTTTCCTTAGAAATGTCTTCCCTCGTAAAAAATGAACAGGTACATCCTCAGCTGCCTAATGCCCTGTCAGTAATTATTGGGATCAAAAGAAGCCTAACGGGTCTTTTAGAGAAGCTTTGCTATTATTTAAAATTAATACATCTAACTACAAAGTTTTAACATAATAAAGCTCTGAAAGATTGTTGCGTGGAAAACTGGGATATGCAATTGAAAGAAATGGAGGATGGGACACCAGACGTGTGATCCTGATGTTAAATCACCAGCTTAAAACAAACAAAAAAAAAAGATGGAGGTACTTAAGCAGAATTCATAGGCAGTGGGATCCCAGCTACTTTATATATTTTACCCCCAAATTCTAAAATTCTTCAAAGATACATATTCAGAATGAATATGCAGCTGTCAGCTATCTTCTATAACTTAACCAAGCCAGTTTAATAGTGAGTTGCCACAAAAAGTTACCTAGAATGGGACCTACTGGGTAGCATTGCCATACCTGTGTCAAACTAAAACCTCAATGTACGTCAATCAAGTTTCTAAACTCCTCTGTTTCCTTAAACTTAAACCAATCTTATGTGATTACAATCAAAACAGGTTGGACTTGAAAACATAAGTTATTTAAAGACTGCTCTTGCCCCTTCTTCATCTGAATCTATCATCTGCATGATATCCCTACATAATACTTCACTCCTTCCCTCCCAGGCTCTCTAGAGAGAACGGCTCTTCTCTGCTTCAACCACCTCGATCAGTCTCTGCCTAAATACCCACCACGGAAGGCGAGGGGAATAACATTTCTGTTATAAAGTCCCAACACTGAATAAATGGCATCGTTAAAAAGGTCTGAACACACTAACTATGCTTTAACATGTATTGCAGTAAGGAGTCTCCAAATATCTTATGACACAGCTTGTAGACTTACAGTACAAACGTCTCAGATTGAAAAAAGGTAGAAGAAAGAGGAGCCCGTCTGGGAAATCTGTTTTGCCACTGCATGCTATGGTGCTAAAAGCTTGTCTGTTCAATGGTAGAACAGATGAGTTCATGTAAAAATATTTAGAGAGCAGACATCATCTTTACCTCAAGAATTCCCAGATCTACAAGTTACTGGATGCTGGAGAGTATTCTGGTAAAGTATCACCATAAGTGGACTGTTCCTATAATCTTCATTAGATGCTTGCTTTTGGTCATTGTTGGATATAGGGCTAGACTTTCTCTGACCTAGTCCATTCCTAAGCAAGTCACCCTTGGACAGCAATAACCCTGTTAAGGTGTGCTCTATACTGCAGCGTCCAAATTTAAGAGCAGAATATCACCTGAGACTGATGAACGGCAGGAATTTGTGGAAGCTTGGATAAGTGCTCGATATTCTGAGAGCTCTAGGATTTGATTATCAGTAAGATGGAAGAGATGTTATTAAAGAAGACAAATAATAGTCAACTGCTCTAATATTTTGTTTGCTATGAAATACTGACATTAAGCTACTGTTATATTTTTTAGAAGGCATCATTATTTCTTGTCTTCCTGCCTCCCTTCATTGCCACCCTAACAGTTTTCATCTTGATAACGGAATGAGGTTCAAACTGACACATACTACTGACTGCCAGAAGTTCAACCCAGCCACTTCTGCTGCCATTCAAGGTCTTGGATATGTAACACCTGCGTAACTCCTTTTTTTTTTTTACTCAGTGCAAAAGCAATATGTAAAGCTAACATTATGGATACATTTAGATGAAATCTGCAAGAGTCTATCAATAGTCTACAATGGTTTTATACCCTGAAAATATGCCCTACTGGTTTAATATAGTAGACTAACGCGTCAAATTAAAAGGCAGAAATAAAGAAGATATTTTTGTAAATTAACTTTTCCTCAAAATAGTTTTGAGCCTCTCTTCCAAATGATCCTAAAATACATTCTTACAGTGAAAGCATAAACTGCAGGCAATGTATTTTATAACAGAAACTTTAGGAAACACTCAACTGCTGTGGCAAGGCACTATACAGCAACAATTAATACAAGTAAATGAAATGGTTGAAACCTGAACAGACAACACAACAGACAGTTTGTATTTAATATGACCTAGTATCTTTGACAGTAACTTGTATTCCTGTGAATATATGTAATTAAAAAGCAAAAATATCACACCGCAACTCAATCTTATTTAACACATTGTCATTAGCTAAAATTACAAAAATTCCCTGACCTTTGAAGTAACCTGTCCAAGGTCTATTTTTCTTCATGTAACTGACTAACACAAGGGAGCTAAACTATGTGTACAGAAATTTACTCTTGACATGGAATTCAGCCAGGAAAAACTAATCTACCAGTATTCAAACACCTGTAAAAGCACTGAAAACCATGAACAATATGGACTACAGAAAGCAAAAGTTCTTCTGCAAAAACAGAGACTTATTACACATTTCTGCTAGAATGTTCTTCACTCTTTATAAAAATAGATGTAGTATTCTGCAAATACACTTTTCACAACAACAACAAAAATCAAGACTTTGAATTGTCCCATGCAAATATCTATTTCTATCACATAGCCAGGTGAGCCACTGCAATGGCAAATATGCCAATCTATAAAATATTGCTTTCATATGTCAGAACATTCTTAGAAAAAGTACTTAAAAAGATCTTTCAAATGTCTCTTAAGAGATTAGTCAATTACAAGAACCTCTTGCAAAATGTTAACAGAATTGTACATAAATTTATTAGAAATACGGCTAAATTAAGTTTTCCTTCTGCATCTAACAAGAGTTTGTAAATTTTATCAGCTGACCACCTCCCCTTTTCTTCATATTTCAAAATGTAAACAAGAGGAAAAAACCAGGGAAAAAAAATTCCAGCTTCAAAAAAAAAATAAACCACACACCAAAACAAACAAATCCCACAAACAAACAACCCCCACATGGAAACACATTTATTATTACATTTATGTTAAATGTATTCCTTTACAAAATAAACTCTATTCCTCTGCGTGCAAGCATGATCTAACCAATGCACTGGAACTCCTAAGGAGCTACAGCCTCTTCCAAGAATGAATTAGAAGGGCCTATGAATCACATAAGCCAGGAAATTACATGAGATTGCAAACCTTTCTAAAACTAAAAGATTCGGAAAAATACTCTCATAGGCACAATTGAGCCTTGCGTATCTTGTGGCTCAGCTACATGTAGTCTGAAGAAATAATTAAGAGAGAGGGGAGGAAATACATAAAAAATTTTATTTTTTCTTTTTAAATATCTGTGAAATGATTTTCGGTTTAAAACATTTTAAACCTGATAAGATCTATGTGGGACAGATTATTTTGAAAAAGTCTGGTAGTATGCAACCACTAGTACACGCAGAAGCGTATTTCAAATACTTAGGTACATTCACGTCACAAAGAAAAGGTTCTGACAAACTGACCCAGTCAAGAATTACTTAAAAATATCAAAAAATGAACTTGAAATTAGTCAAATTAGAAAACAAAGATTCATATTTTGAATAGATAAACTCCAGATACTTTTATGTTTCCAAATCAAGCCCTAATTAAAAAAAAAATCCAATCTATAAAACTCTAATTAAATGCCTCATTTACAGTCTATTTGAATTTAATCCTTCGAGATTTCCATTTCAAAGGATTTATTTTCACCTATTATTACCTAATTTGAAATTTATGTCTATTTAAAAAAAAACAAACAGGGATAAGAAAGCATGCTTTGCAAGTTAACTAT